ATGAAGAGGAGAAACGTGCCCGGGATGAAGCCGAACGACGCGATCGAGCTGAACAGCAGCGACTGCAGAGAGAGGAATACAAACGCTTCGAACGGGAAGAAATCGCTCGGCAGCGCGAAGAGCAGGAGCGCAAGCTGAGGGAGAAGGAGCGAGAGAAAGAGAGACAGAAGGCTGAGGAACAGCAGGCTTTTAGACAGCGTGAGGCTGAGATCAGGCGCAGGGCAGAGGAACGCAAACGCACCAACAGCACTGGGATCGATCCCAACTCGGACTGGAGCTATCACAGCTGGGCCCGAGCCGGTGCCAGTGCGAGTCCAACCAGTCCTTCCTCGTCGAATGCTTCTTCCTCAACTCGCAGCAGCACGTGGTCCGGCTCATCCTGGACCAATGCCAGTTCTAACTCGACGCCGACGCCCAGCAAGACCAAGCCGGCTCCTGCCCCAACCTCGGCCCCAAGACGAGCACACCTCAACCGAACGCGGAAGAATGGGCACGTCGACAGCGCGAGCAAGCCGATGCCCAGTTCCGTAAACTTCAAGAGCAGCTCGAACGAGAGCGACTCGCCAAGGAACAGAAGGCCGGGAAGCTGAGCAAGGAGGAGGCAGCTCGGGTATACCAGATGCACGAGCAGCAGTGGGCCCGAATCAATTCTAGCAGCGAAGTTGGTTGGGAGATGCTTCCGTGGCCTATGTTCAGGAGACCGAACGAGCCGGACGATATCACGGGCTCCGCAGTCGACGCATATATCCTGTCGCCGCATTACCCGGACCCCGAGAAGAGCACTAAGGATAGGATTCGGCAGCAGTTGCGCAAGTGGCACGAAGATCACTTCAACCAGAAGGTCTTGTCCAAGGTTGGTGAGAAAGACCGCGAGGAAGTGAGAACAGGCGCAGGCACCGTCACAAGGAACTTGAACGCTTTGCTCGAGAGAACCAATGCGAAGGAGGCCCTGTCGATGCTCTTTGGCTAATGTGAGTCACGCTCCAAACCCTGTTCAGCAGGATGTTGATTAACTTGGCAGCTTGCATGAACACGTATATATATGTACTCACATGTACCACTCCTCCGCTCGTTTTCATCACATCATGTACGACTCACCGCATCATGTACGACTAGAGAACTATCATCAACGGGATTTACATACTCACTACTCACACACACACACACTCACTATGTATGCTTGCCACTGGTCCCTTATCAGCTGTACGAGTACGAGGATTCTATTGTAATTGAACGCCAGCGCTCCATGAGCTATGCGGTTGTCGCTGATCGAGTAAAAATCTCAATGGGAAGCACCTTGATATGGTAGTGGGCAGTGGGAAAGGGAGACACAATGGAACCGAGCAGGGTTCATATACATGGATGATCCAACTCCAAATTGGGATAGTATGGCTATGGTCGGACCATTCGGGGACGGAAGCAGAGCATGTTGTTTTGAGCAAACTACATGGAACTAATCATAGAATACAAGGAAACGGAGTTCGATGGATTCTCTCAGTGGAGTATCAGCAGGTGTTGTTGGATCGCTGAAAGCTGTGTGAGGCGTGAGCAACGCGACGGACCCGTCTTGTTGAGAATCAAAACTGGAACAAAGCACTTCGAATCAGCATCCTGTACCAAGCCTACACATCAACAACTTGGGACAAACCATTTGATGAGGGCAACCTCGTCTGGATCCATCCCACGCAGATATACCCATCTTTGATTCTCGTTGTACTTCACGCCGTACGTCTCGCCTTCGCGATCGGGATAGACCAAAGCGATTGCGAGCAGGTCCTTCTCCACATCTACCGTCCGAAAGTCGCACAGAGCTAGAGGCCAGTCGAGGGCGATATGGTTTATCGGGCGCCACATATTGACTACCTGGAAGCGGCCTTTCAGGAGGGCAGGAGCGTCTTCAGGCGGCAGATGGCGGTGGACGCGAGAGACGGCGGATGAGTTGGTCTGATCCACATGCGCCTGAGACACGGGCTGGCGCTTGTTCGGTGCGTCGTCGAATTCGGTCGGCCGGCGGCGACGGATAGCTGCTGTTCTTAGCATCCATATCACGCGTTCAACTTGGCAAGACGCACTGTGATCGAATAGTACCACTCTGCTGGCTCCAGTGAGGCGCTTCATGAGCTCAATGCTCTCTGGATAGTACTCCCGCTCGATTGCAGTATCATCCGAGTAATCTTGAAATTTGGTGGGCTCGCGAAAGAATTGGAAACCGGTGCGATCCAGGGACACGTCCGCTTCTCTGCCCCGGATGTTCTCGATCTTCACCGCATGCTCCTTGAAGGCAACATTGGTAATTGGCTGGCCCGTCTCCGAGGATGCGTTGATGCTCTGGTATGCCCGCTTGCCATCAATTGGATCGGTCACGAATGTTAGCCGAGTGTCGGCGAAATTGGGGACGACTGGGGCGGCCATGTGAGATCGTTCTGTGTGATTGAAAGATGAAGAGGATGTACTCGTATCGTAATCCTCTGTCCTTTCTTATAAGGCTCAGGACTCGCTTGAGATGATAGCGTCATCCCCGGACGGAATTCGTCAGCGGATGGGTAAGCTGATCGAAGACGAGATATATCAGGATTCGGCATTTGGAATACCGAGTAAATGTCACCTTTGTTAGGCAGAACAATCTTTCGCCGCACGCGGGTGGCGTACATAGTTCTACGCAAGTTGAGTGCCGGGATTCGGAGACGTGACGATACAATCATGTGATCGTGAACCTTGTTCATGTCACCCTGTAACTCGGACAGACTCGGACAGGCTCTAATCAAGGACAGGCTCTAACCAAGGACTGGATCCTGACAACCCCACTGGTAGCTGCCAGCCACTGCCAGTGAATTTCAAGATCGATCCATAGCCAATCCCAGTATTCTCTATAACTCACCATACACTGCCCTGCTGTCGTCTTGGACGCTCTCGCTCTGATACCGGCTCAAAAATCATGCACTGTGCACTCGCTTTTTGTTCCACCCGAAACCTGTGGGAAAAAACTCGAACTTGAATTCACGCGTTGCCAGTCCGAGAATGAATCAAACCTTTGACTTGCTAGAGAGATTCAGGCTGGGTACTGGGGTCTCACCGCTCGCCAAATGCCCAATCTTGTTGGTGTGCGGTGGGGCCGATGTGTCGTGTCTTGACAGGTTCTCAGTCATCCATCAACGACTCGCAGCGATCAAGCGGACAACAAAGCCACGATTTGAAGAGCCTCCGGGATGATCCCCTCTCTCAAGTGGAGGGTCACCCAGGATCATCTCGTGCCTCTCACGAAACGAAACTCAGCTGTGCCTTCTAATCTAACGATACGGAGCTGGATACTCTCGATCTGGTTCGCGCATACATCCAGGCACAGTGCCCCTACAAACAAAAACACGAGATGTCAGTCCATGACGACGACTGAGATTCCAAGAAACTCGTACCACAGTGCGAATGATACCATTTTCTGTGCATGATATCAATATATAAGAGTGCCAGTAATCCATGTCCTCACTCACACCCTCCAGCTGCACACATTCCATGGCCCTAGTCAAAAACAACAGTAAAGGAATGGCGGACGGTCGCGAGCACGATCGGATCGCGAACTACACCAAATTCTGGGATAAGGACATGGCGAAGGAGAACCAGGCTCACACCGAGCACAGAGTGGACAGTTATGCCGAAGTCGTCAACGGTTGGTGCATGAATCAGGGATCTAGTCATTTCTGAACTTTTCTAGGCTACTACGATGGTGCCACCGAGTTGTACGAATATGCTTGGGCCCAATCGTTCCACTTCTGCCGCTTCTACAAGGGTGAAGGTTTCGACGCAGCACTGGCGAGACACGAGCACTATCTCGCTGCGCAGATGAAGCTGCGGCCCGGAATGCGCGTTCTCGACGTTGGATGCGGAGTCGGCGGACCTGCTCGCGCTATCGCCCGTTTCTCGGACGTGGAGATCGTCGGCCTGAACAACAACGAGTTCCAAGTGCAGCGCGCGAGGAAATACACGAAGAAGGCAGCGTTGAATGAACAAGTTACCTTCGTCCGTGGTGACTTCATGAAGTTGGAGGAGCAGTTTGGCCCCAACTCTTTTGACGCCGGTGCGTTCTACTCTAGCCCTCACGTGGAATTCGAACTCAAAGGTGTCCCAGTGTATGCCATCGAGGCCACATGCCATGCTCCAACCTGGGAGGGTGTCTACGGGGAGATCTTTAAGGTGCTCAAGCCAGGTGGCACAGTACGAAACATTTCCTCAAGTTGAAAGCATCGCTCAGCACAGACTATTCTAGTTCGGAGTCTACGAATGGTGCATGACCGACGAGTGGGATCCGTCGAACCCCGAGCATGCCAAGCTGCAACACGAAATCGAATTGGGGAACGGCATTCCCGAAATGCGCTCACTGAAGCGCGCGCGCGAAGCTCTGAAGTCGGTCGGGTTCGACATTGTGCATCAAGAGGATTTGGCGGACCGGGCCGATCCTGTTCCGTGGTATTACCCGCTGGAAGGTGATGTGCGCAAGGCGCAGACTGTGTGGGACTACTTCACAGTGTGGAGAATGAGTCGGAGTGGCATGTTCATCACACACAACGCGGTCTGGCTGTTGGATAAGCTTGGGCTTGCTCCCAAGGGGACCCACGACGTAGGCGAGGCTCTGCGAATCGCCGCTGTTGCTTTGGTCAAAGGCGGTCAGTTGAAGGTCTGTCAAGTCTATTCTTTGATTTGCGTATTCTGACACAGGCACAGCTCTTTACCCCCATGTATCTCGTCGTGAGCCACAAGCCTTCTCGCACGCTGGACAGTTATCAATAGTCATCGCGTTACTCATATCGTGCCTGCGTTTGTAGTCATCGAAGCCACCTCGCTTCTGATGCACGGGAGCGTTAATATGGCCTGTAGTCAGGAGAAATAAATGTCGCACCTCACCAGTGCTTCTATGCGGAGGTTGAGAGAGTGAATTCCATCAATTCAAAGGCATCATATCATAATCATGTGATCGCGTATAAGTCCTAATCAAGTGTGATGTACTCATTCAAGGTTGAACGAGTTAACCCCACTGTCAATTTACACCCGCACCATCCCCCGTCCTAACAGGCGACAGTCTTCGCAAAGTCATCTAAACAACAAGCACTGTCACGACAACGAGGATGTTCTCCACTCTTTGGTGAATATCACATCTCAACTCCAAAATCTTCAACGCAGTTACTAATATTGCCAATGCAGTGCCAGTGTCGTCACACACACGCATCTTTGTAGAAATCTCGCATATGGCATCTCGCACCCAAATCGGTTTCTCTCAAGCTGTTGCCAATCGTACAAACAAATGCGTTCCCACAGCCCTTCAATTCATCCGACCCATGCTGGATTTAGACAGCGGATGGATTTGCGACGGATCTGCGACGGATTGGCTGATATTCTTGTGATCGGTTGACACGGTGGGTAAGTATCAGGAAACGGGTTGTCAGGCCAAGACACACTGCCTCATAAACGGGATCGCATTTGACAGCCCGATACCCCGGCATTGCCTGAGTGTTGTCTTCCTCTGTCCCGCGTTCTTTCTTTCTTTCTTTCTCTCCTTCTCTCTTTCTGTCCTTCTCTTCCTCAGTCTTGTCTGTTTCATCTTCATTCCGAAATGCAGGCCACTTCACTGTTTTTAGCATTGCTAGTGTGAGTGACCTTTGGGGTCCGGGATCTTGCTTTTCTGCTGCTGACGAGAAGACCAGTTTCCTCATATCTTCAGCATCAACTGGCCGGGCTCTTCTGATTTCGCCTCCTACGAAAGCTGTCGCCGGATCTAATGCGACTGTGCTTTGCACCGTTGAGACTGGGGAGTCGATCGACGGTCTGACGTTCTATCTTACGAACAACGTGACGCGCGACGCTCTTGCCACCACTGTGTTGACCACCGATCCGATACAGCTCTTGGTGAACATCCCTTCGGGGCTATCGGGGTCTGTCTCAAGGCTTGATCTACGATTGGTGTCTAACTTCGGAGCAGAAAAGGATGGAAGATATCTGCTGTAGACGCTGCCAAGTACGTCGTGACTCGCAGTCAGAATTGACACGCAAGAGATCTCATGTGCTCGCCAGTCCCGATGCTCTTGTCGGTCAATCGGCAGCGTTCTCTATAACTTCACCCCCCAATCCCGGTCATTTGGCCCTCATCATTAGTGTGGTTCTTTCTGTTATCGTTCTCGTCGGCCTTGTCGCAATCGGTCTGTTGGTCCGTCGCCGTCGCCAACAGCAGAGAGCCGCTGCCCCGACTTTCAATATCGAAACTGGGATGGTATCTGCTTTGGGACATCGCCACATCCCTTCCACTGCCAGCTCACGCTCCGTCGAGTCCCCAAAGCAATCTCTTGAGCAAGAGAAGCTGCGATGGGAGCAGCAGCTCGATGCGCAGTTCGCGCGCGCGCGAGCAGGAACACCGGACATTTCGCGTGGTCCCAGTCGGGAAGACTCCCCGCCCAGAGTCCCTCCCGTTGCTTTCGCTCACTCTTAAACGACACTCATTTTTGCTCACAATTCGGAATGGACCACTGAAACGATGCCTTGTAACGTAAAATGGATGGCCTGGACAGTCCTGGACAATATTGTAACTTGCACTCTCATAATTTCTGGTATCTTCTTACCGATGTAGTTGCCTGTGTGCCTCTGAATTTGTACCAGTACAATGTACCGCATGTGGCATGTGCAATCGGATTTAATTATCTCTTGAACTCGAAGGAGCAGTAAGGTTTACATGCCCCCGCCCACTACTCGGCAAATTCCGAGACGGCTTGTCTCGCACTGGTCAGCGAAGGCCCTGCTTGGCTTGAACGTCTAAACGTTGTCCGTACGTAGTCCAAGACATGACTCGCACAGGCTTCATCACATTGAGACGTCATGCGCTTCCCGAAGCCGACCATCAAACTGCTGGTGCCGATGCAAGACGCGTTCCTCCGGCGCTGATCGACACGACTACTTAAGAGCTCCGTGTGAAAAACTGGCGCTCGCACCCACAATTTTCGTCCGCCATGCAAACCTTGACCAGCCGCAGCATCCTTCGCGCCCCGGTTTCTAGAGGTCATCTTGCGACCCACATTCCCCGACGCATCGCACGGCGGACGTTCCTGACGATAATTGAGCAGGGCAAGGAGGGATGGCGGCTCAGGTATGTCATACATCAAGCTACAATGGTCTTCTTACACACTCTGCGCAGCCTTGGCCGTAACCCCGTGCGCCTCACCCCAGGATTGAATATCAATATCCCGATCTACCACTCTGTGCAGAAGATCGACTTGCGGGAATCCTCCATTCTCATACCAAACGTGCGCTCGCCGACCCATCTCGCACATGCAGTGAAACAGTCTGACTTATTCGAAAGTTGCCTGGGTACACGGCCGACAACGTCCCAGTGACGTGCTCGGGGTCACTGTTTTACCGCATTGTGGACGGATACAAAGCCTGTTTCTCTGTCAGCGATGTGCAGAACAACATCCGAAATACAGGAACGTCGGCGGTGCGTTCTGTATTGGGGCATTTTACCTACGATCAGGTTCGCTTGCCCGTTTTCGATGTCTGAGCCCAGCGTGAAGGAGGCACGCAGGTGATCAGTGACCGAAACGAGTTGAACAAGAGACTGAACACGGTCATTGGAAACTCTATCGTGGTAGGACGATTTTCTTGAGGTTGTCTCCGTGATTGAATCGTTTTCAGAATTGGGGAGTGGAGTGTACTCGTTTCGAAATCCAGTCTTTCCAACCAGCCAATCGAGAAGTGGAGGTACACCTTGTCTTCTAGCTGCCGCATCCTTGCTCACAGTGTTCAAGCGTCAATTGGAGCTCCAGATGGAAGCGGAGCGTAATCGTCGCAAGCAACTATTAGACACTCAGGCAAACATCAACATTGCAGAAGGTCAAAAGCAGCGCGTCATCTTAGAAAGCGAAGGCCATGTGGGTCTCGAGCTCCTGCCAGATTGACTCTGTCTGACAATGCTTGCAGTTGGCAGCTAAGGCCAACGAAGCTGACGCTGCGTACAAAACTGTGGTGCGCGAGGCGGAGGCAAGACAACAGCAGGCCGTGATGGAGGCTTCCGCGCTGGCCCGCCAGATCGAGTCCCTCTCGGAAGCCATTGCCAGTCCTGGAAGTGCGCCCGGGCCCTCAGAACGCAAGCAAGCGCTCGAAACCCTCGTAGAGCTGCGGCGTCTCGAACAACTGCGTGCCATTGCCAAGGGCCAGGGCAACTCGACTTATTTCTTCGGAGATCGCTCCTCTCTGGGGATGGGCGGGTCGGCAACCGAAGCGTATAATCTGGACTACGCTGAACAGATCAAGAATGGGCTTCCCAAACCTGCGAAGCCAATGGTCGGATCCGTGGTCGTGTCTGCTTGAGATTTCGATCTGAGCACAATTCCCCAAATATGTATCGATAAATAACCCCACTTCTATGTATCCAGTTGTACTACCAATGATTGCACTAGTGCTTTTCCGTCTCGACTCTTCAGTTCACTATGGATCACCTGAATAGTGCTGTTGGTGATGACATCATCGACGACGAGGGTCTCTTCGACATGGAAGACTAGGTATCAACCGAGAACTCTCCAGCTGGGCCGCTAAGGACTAAACATGATGTCACTTCCATCATACTTGCCCCATTACTTCTCTCTCCTCTACAATCATGTCCATTTTCAATGCCACCTCCAATGCGACTGAAGTTGTCACCGCGTTCGCTGACGAAATACGCGGAAAGAATGGTTTGTGCCGGGCAACTTTGCACTGCTGCAGATTGCAGGATTGACATAGCTCAGTCCTCATCACTGGAACCTCTCCGAACGGCCTCGGCTACGAGACCGCGAGAGCGATCGCGCAATACGCCAATCTCGTTATCGTGACAGGATACGATCGGAAACGGTCAGTCCACGACTCTTCTTTCATGACAAAAACCCATTGATGCAAACAGACTGGAGGACACAAAGCAATTACTTTTGGTTGAAGTACCGAACGCACAAGTCCGGACCCTCTCCTTGAATCTTGTGTCTATGGATGCTGTGCGAGCGGCTGCTGCCGAGGTCAACGCCTACCCGGAACCCATACATGCGAGTTGCTGTACGCACAGCCGACGCCCGATGACTTACCGTCCCAGGTCCTCATCAACAATGCGGCATCCTCGATCTGTGCCTTCCAGCTCACTGCAGATGGTTTTGAGCGTCAAATCGCAACAGACCATCTCGGTCCATTTCTGTTCACATCCCTGATTCTTCCGAGGATCCTCGCTGCGGGCTCCGAGAGCTATACGCCCCGGATAGTTTTCGTGGCCAGTGGAGCCCATGCATGGTGTGATGGGGTCGATTTGGCCCAGATCGAACACCCCGACGAGAGCAAATACGAACCTATGCGCGCATATGCCCAAGCCAAGTCCGCCAATATACTCACGGCAAGTGAACTTGCACGCCGGTTCAAAGGCCGAATCAATGCATACAGTCTCACCCCAGGAGGTGGGCTCGTGGTGCTTCCCATCAAAACCCTCGCTGACTTCGGATGTAGCGGTTATGACGAACTTTGTCTCCAGTCCGGAAGCAAGGAGCGAGCTATTGAAACACGGTGTGTCCGCTCCAACAGATTTCGAAGACTTAGTTTATTCCCGCAGGGATCATCACCGACGATGGTCAACCGAATTTGAATTCGAATCTGAAGTGGAAAACGTTGGCGCAGGGAGCATCTACGTCAGCCTTTTTTTCTTGCTGAGAAGCACCCTGGACTGTTGAACTTGGACAGGACGCTAGTTGCAGCATTCAATCCCCTCTTAAATGGCATGTTTCTGTTGAAACTGGTGCTCTCATCTCACTTATCTCCGCGCAGATAAATCTGGCTGTTATCTCCGAGATTGTCTTGAAGAAGAAACGAGCGTCAAGGATCACAGCAAAGATCCGGTAGGTTCCATCTCCTGGTGCCCTTGTGACCGTCATTGATCCCCGCCGTTTTCAAGGCAACGGCTCAAGCTCTGTGGACTCTCAGTGAACGTCTCGTCGGAACCTCTTTCTCGTAGAGTGATTAATTACGCGGTACATAAAAATTGGTAAGTAGGAGACGAAATCGAACATGCCGCCGGCCATCAATCAAACCGGTGTGATTCCCTTGATGGATTCTGACGTCTCACGTGATCGATTTATGGCTCTTACCCTCGGAGATGTTGTGCCTTTGGCAGTCTTGCTTTCATACTTCACGATCATCTTATCACTTTTAGCCGTGATATGCCGGAGCCTGGTTTCATTAAGACGGTCTCTGGACAGTAGAGCCTATGTGTTCGTCGCGCTCACCCTCGCTTCATTCGCCCACACCTGGTTCTGTCGGTCCACCTTCTTCCCACCCAAGACACCGAGCTGATGCAGTCCTGGACGAATTGTAGACATGTTCAAGTTCATGTTTGCAAGTATCTGGGAGTCAAGTCTCGATTCACGCGCCTGACACCTCTGTAGTGGAGTTTTGCCAATTACGAGCTCGCCAGGGGCTACATTCCCTCATCCCAATCCCTGATCCGACGGATGAGTCTATGGCTTTTCGACACGTCTTTATTTGAGCAAGCGTGGGCAGCTGTCTGCTTCGGAGAGTTCAATTGGTGGTGGAGTCAACAGCTCTGCCTGTTCACAGTCGGGGCATGGACAATCTTTCTTGCAACAGAAGGCAAGTAACCCCTTCGGCTGTCTGTCCAGATATGAATACTGTTCCAGGCCGGAAACACCAGGTCAAACTCGTATGGGCTTACATGCTGCTGGGCCAATTAGTCGCCATTTCCGTCGCGTCCAATTTGTTCTACTTGGCTCTCGTGCTCTCTCCGCCAGTGTCTGGAAGTCGTACCAACGCGAAGGCCTCGCCTGTACTTTTCGCCTGTGTCTCTATGGCACTCGGAGCGGTGTACCTCAGTCCTTGGACGGATGGGACGACCTTCCTCCCCAATCTACTCGTAATGCACGGTGTCATTATGATTCCTTTGCTGCTGCCTGCGAAGTTCGTCAAGAATTCCGAGAGGTCTGTGCTGTCTGTCCCGCTTCCCATGATGCACATTCTCGTTTTTGCAATCGCACTCGCCCTGCACACGCGTTCGACGGCGACTGCTCTTGGAGATCCCCCCATGTCGGTCCTTGATTTCGTCAACAAAGCGTGGACCACTCTCCATTCCCACCCGGCGCAAGCCTCCATCGGCTGGGACATTATTTGGACCAGCATATCGTTTGTGGTGTGGGTTGTGATGTTGCCGCAAGAGCAAGCTGGACAGCGCATCGCAGTCGCCCTATTTCTGCTGCTGGCTACGCCGCTGGTCTCCGTGGGAGTGCTCGCCCCACACATCCTTAGGCCGTCAGAAGAGGAAGTTGAGGAGAAGAAAAATGTTTAGAAACACGGATGTAATCTACTACTTGGTGAACAATCATGTCTAGACTGGGTAGGTCGCAATGCAAGTAAACAAGGCTCGGTTGACGATCAGATGGCACGCCGGCTTGGATCTCGCTCATGTGCTCTGGAAACTTTCGATTCTGCAGCATGGTAGTGTGAAGGAGTCCACTCAAGCCCCCAAACCTCTCGCAGCGAGCATCCCGCGTGGTCACGCGATTACAATGTTGTTTAAGCGGAACACGAGAACAATCACGCAACAACAACGCGTGTTCCCCTGAGAGACCTGGCCATGGATGAGGAAGACACGCTCTCTCGCGCCATCGCTCTTGTTGAAACAGTTTACGATCAAGTGTCTAGCGAGTTTGCCCTCTGGAAGGCCGATCACGCTGCTCGCATACTCAGGAATGTGGCATCCGACGATCCCTCCGTTGCGAGGACGGTCGAAGCCAGCATGAGTGCTCGCATGCCAAGTACTACCACTCCTAGCATCTCCGAGCCCTCGGCACTGCTTGTTTGGGACTTTGAAGGCGACGGAGACACACTCGATACCACTCCGGAATACGTCGGGGTCAAGGTCATCCATGCGGATGCCTCTTTCTCTCCGGTGCCTGTCTACGAATACTGCACTCCTTCGCTACGGAATGTCAAAGTCGGCGACGATTCCTCCTCCATGCCTTTCTTACCCTTTCCAAACGACCCGCGCTTCAACTTGGCTGATTACGTGGAACTACATAAACAATGTAGCTGGGACGTGGACGCTCGGCAGGCCTCAGACGATACCGATCGTGAATAGGACAAGCCTTTCAACTATCTCCGTGTCTCACGCTACATCGTTAGTACAGGTGATAGTAGTGGAAGCTGCGCGCAGACTCCATACGCAGCATGGGATGCTCTACCGCCATATCGACGAGACTGATGCCCTTCCCATCCCTCTTTTGGATCACGACGGGGTCAGAGGAATGATCGAAAGCAGTCGCCGGCGGTATGTAGGGCACTCATATGTCAAATACAATTATATGAACGTTTGCAGTGACTTTCCTCCATGGCCGAAAACTGTTCCTCCCACTCAGAAATTCCTTCGGGACGACGACACTCTCAGCCCCGACACTTTACCCAGTCAGATACTCAACCAGTTGATTACGAATTTCTGCGGAAACCTCAATTGCGTGATACCGTTCTGCACCACGCACTGTGAGCTTCTCAAACTGGGTTCTGAACGGAACTGAACGGCCGCCTAGTGGAGCCTCAGACGATGCCTCTGCGAGTAGAATCTTCGGTCAAGAGCTCACGCATGAGAGCGCTTGCCCTCAGAACGAAAACGCCCTGTGACGATGACTGCTTCTTGCTCAGAGAGCTTGATGCTACGTATGTCAGTCCAGACACCATCCATCAACTCGCTGCCTTCTCAGGATTCATCAGCCGCCTGTTTCGTGGAGCAAAGTTGACCTCGACCTTCTGGAAACGTTGCTCGAGCTAACTCCTGATATGCTCCCTTGCCGGCTCGCAGAAGTGATCAAGAGACCCTGCTTTGAGGTGCGTCGAATCGATGCAGAATTCATTTGAGCTGCCTTTAAGTCTCACTCCAGATTTACAAACTCCGAGCAACGATGCTGCCTGAAGATTCGGAAGAACAACAAAGGCGGAAACGAGCCCCCAGCAGACCCCAAAAAACACTCAGATTCCGAGGTTTGAACCATTCCTTGCGAGCCCTGTCTGTACTGATGGTTCCCAGATCTCGACCGAAATGGCTTCTCTCCGTGAGTCTCACTTTGCACATCTCCTGCAGTCATTATTCAGGGAGAAAGGAACGTCCCATGCCGACACGAAGGTCCTTGTGATGGGTCTGCGGACTGCGCATGCTTCGAGAACAGCTCACATTGCGAGAGCAGCTGTCGTTGCAGCAAGAAATGTTTATTTCATACCCTCACATTGATCCAAATGTATTCAGATTTCTACACAGGCCTCCGTCGTTGGCGTGGCTGTACGTGCGCCTCGAAAAGCAAGCGATGCTCGACGAAAACCTGCGCATGCCGATTGGCATATCGAGAATGCGATCCGGAACTCTGCCTCCGCTGCAAGGCACGGTATGTGGAAATTTAGCCATTTGTGAGACTAAACATGCTGACCATCTCTCAGAGGTGAGTCCCCCCCATGACCGCTATTCCTTCTCTCAGGTTCAGACGATTTGGCTGGCCTGTGCTGCAATTCCGGTATCCAGCGTGGGCGTTGGAAACTCACCAAGGTCGCACCAGCTACATACGGGCTAGGCCTCTTTGTCCAAGAACATGTGTCCAAAGACGAGTTGATCATTGGTGTGGCCTTTTCGCGCTCGCTAGTCGAGGTCTAAAGCTTTCCCATGGCAGAATATCTCGGCGAACTCATCTTCGAGGCTACTGTCGAATCTCGGGGGCAAGTATGAGCGGTGCACATCCACGAATCTTTGCCTGAACGATTCTCAGCCTCATTGCGTCCCATCGAGATCGAAGTTATGCTTTCGATCTGAACGAGACCATGCGTGTGGACGGAACGTACTTGGGGAACGACTCTCGGTTCATCAACCACGACGACGGAGAGCATGTCAACTGTTGTGCTAAAGGTAAGCGTGCGCCCTGGACGCACCCAATCGGCGCTCACCCCCTCCATAGTTCTTCTAGTAAACGGGGAACATCGCATCGGTTTTTTCGCCAGTGAGTTCCTGGTAGTAGGCGAAGTGGCATGGCAGCTGACTGCATCAACAGCTCGAGAGATTAATCCAGGCGAGGAAATTCTATTTTCCTACGGCAAGAAATTCTTCAAGTAATCCACGAACCAATTGTCCAAATATACAACATATCCCAGTAGATTGGAGTAGATAGACGACTTCATTTCACAATGGAGTTGACGCCGCGTGCTTATGGAGCGATCCGTTCAGGACTGAAACCCCTCGAGGAGTGAAATGCTCACCGGCAAGATGATCCTTCACTGCGCTGGCACTCTACGAGAACGATCACACAACAGTATAAGTTGAGAATGGGAGAGATACGGGGGGAGAGCTCACCAGCCCTCGGATTACTTCGAATACACTCTTGTCATAATACCTCAACTTGGTTGCAGGATCAGTGTACGGGGCCTGCAGTTGATAACATAAGTGGCATTCTTAGCGATGAATAGAATGATATACGACCTCTAGTCCTGTTATATCGCAATAATGTTGTTGAGGTAACAAAGACGGCGGCGCTTCGATGGACGTATCTGTCGATATGAGGAGTAAGTTCAACGAATATGAATCGAAGTCACTGCCTACATGTCGGAAACTCCTCTTCATCCTCCAAAGTTTTCCGTCCACGTCCATATTACTCTCCAATCTCTCACGTCGTTTCTCTCGCTCTGCGCGCTCCCGTTCGCGTTCTTGAGTCAGCACAGCCTTCAAGTTCTTCGATCGGCGTGCAGTTTTCTTGGCATAGTTAGGATTCTTGAACGGTCGCGGATTGTCCAAGTATGAAAGTTGCTCAGCGAGACTCTGTTGAAAGATGGCATGATTCGACCGTTAGATTGAAAGTCCTTTCAGTCGTGCGGATGAGCGCACAGGCAATTGAGGGGTAGAGGCGCCATCAGATGCCACAGCGGGCTTCTTCTTCTGAAACCCTTTGGGAGGCCTGCTCAAATCCGTGAAAAACGCGTCTCTCAATGAATCTCGACAGCACACTTACATGGTCGCTTAAGCTGAACAAGTGCACGTAAAGGTCATGACGTGAGCCAACAGCACAGCTGATGGCATCGACGCAGACAAAATTTTGGTCAATCACCACCACTCCCTCGGGAATCTCTCCTTGGCTCTCGGAAGGCATGGTCTCGACAGACAAGTTCGGGAAGAAAAGGTCAGCTGCCACGCAAGGTGGTCCGAGAGCGAAGAAGGCGCATCTCGAGAAGCGTGCAGCGTCCGAGGTCAAATCGACGAAGAAACGCAGCCAGCCGGTCACGAAGGCAGTAGTCGAGGAAACCGATTCGGACCAAGAAGATGAGAATATTGAATTCGATGTTGCGGAAGAGGATGGGCATGGGTCCGATGTAGAGATGGATGGAGAGGAGGACGGCGAGACTGTGGCCATGCCAGTAAAAGATCCTAATGGTACGTGCTGCAGCATTCTCCTCTCTCGCTAACCTAGTCCTCATTTTGTTCAGCCAGCCGGGAAGCGCACAAAGCTCAGAAAATTCTCCAAGAACAGCGAAAAGCCGGCAAGCCGCATTCCACTTTGCTCGTCGATGCCAAACGGGTATGGCACCAGGCCAATTCGAAGAGCATGAGCCAGGCAGATCGTCAAAAACATATCCAGGCGCTCATGGACGTCATCCGCGGAAATGTAAAAGACATCGTTTTCAAGCACGATGCTAGCCGGATCGTCCAGACTGCTGTGAAGTACGGACAACAGAAAGAGCGAGATGAGATCGCAACAGAACTGCAGGGCCGTTATAAGGACCTGGCCCAGAACAAATATTCCAAGGTATGACCAAAGTCTATTGGGACGGAGCAATATACCTGACATGCAACCCTCAGTTTCTGGTCACGAAGTTGATCCGACTCTGTCCTGCGCATCGCGCGTCCATCCTGAAGGAGTTCCAAACCCATGTATTGCGCCTGCTCCTCCACAGAGAGGCATCCTCAGTACTAGCGGACGCATTTGAACTCCACGCGAACGCTTACGAGCGCACTTTACTCGTGCGGGACTTCTACGGGAAGGAGGTTAGCTTGTTCACTGTGACAAGTGGGAGCGAGACGGACAAAGACCAAGCGAGGAAGGGGCTTGCCGGTGTGCTCGAGGATGCCGATCCTGAACGCAGAAAGCGAATTCTTACCGCGGTCAAGGAAGCATTGGTCTCAATGTGTGTGTGCTATCAATGTCTCATTCTCGTTCTCACGAGTCACAAGCTTCAACAACTCTGACAAGGGGGCTGTTACTCATGCGGTCGTGCATCGGGCCCTATGGGAGTACATTGTTGCTGTCACTAACTCGCCGGACGAAGCAGAGGGCGAAAAGAACATGCGGGAGATCTTTGAATTGTACGTATGATTGCACATCTTCGGTCCTGCGCTTCATGTTGGTCTGCTAGATGTCAAGATGTTCTGGCAGAGCTAGTGCATACGAAGGATGGCAGTCGTGCAGTCCGAGAGTTTCTTGCACGAGGCAGCGCAAAAGTATGTTGGCTGGTACCTTGCTTGATCGCTTCATTGAATCGCAATCCTCAGGACCGAAAACAAATTCTCAAAGTGCTGAAGCCCCATGTCGAACGTATGTGCACCGATGATGAAGCCCAGATGGTACTTTTCACTGCGTTGGATGTCGTCGAGTAAGAGGCAGCGATTCTCTCTGGTATGAAAGTTCATGTCTAATCATTGATCCAGCGACACTAAGCTCGTCGTGAAAACACTTGTCCCCGAAATGACCACTCCTGCGAGTAAACTGTGCGAAACACCTCAAGGACGACGCGCGTTGCTCTATCTTGTTGTACCCAGGACGCGTCGACACTTTACTCCTGCTCAGATCGCCGCACTGGCTGAGACGGATGCGACGAGAGTCAAAACGAGCAAGAAAGCGAGCGAAGTGCGGGAGGCCGAGATCCGATCAGGTGCCAGTGAAGCACTGATTAAATGGGTCAAGGACAAAGGCGCATTATTGTTGAGAGAACCTGGTGCCAGCCTGGTTTTGGCGGAGATCATGCTGTTTGCTGAAGGCGGTGGGTGCTTTCCAATGACTTCGTCTTGAACCCCACTCACCACCGTCCAGACAAAAGTGCCGCCAGCGAAACTCTCTTGAGAGCAGCCTCGACAATCTACCCGTCCGAAGACGAACAGCATCCTCATCCCATCGACCTGCCGCACAGTTCCCGACTGTATAAAACTCTGCTGCAAGGCGGCCACTTCAATCGAGGGACATCCGCCATCGACAAATCACCCAATTGGGACTCGCAAGTCTTTGCTGAGCAATTTGTCGAGACCATTGGACAAGATGTTTCTGTGGCGATGTGCTGCAAAGGCGACTGCAACGGAACTTTCGTCATCGCTGAATTGTGTGGCGCTCTGATTGGCTCAGCAAGTTCGTCCACGCAGAGTGTCAAGCAATGGTTCAGTTCCGCGATTCAAAAGGAGATCGAGGCGAGGGATGGCAAGGGGAAGAATGTCTTGCTGCAACGCATCGCTGCCTTATGAACATGTCTATCTATTCTCGTGCTGTACCCTATATACTGTATGCATGGGATGCTAGCCAGTACTGCACGCTTATCGCACTCTCGGCTTCCAATCATGAATGTCAAACTAGATTCAAGCACAAGCACAACAGGATCATCGCTTTCAATACAATCTTTGACACCGCCAATGGTAGATGGATGGGTCTTTGGTCACCTGACATCCTCGTGTCACGGTCGTCACGTATAGGAATCGTTATTGTCGTTATCTGACCTGAAGTTCAACTGCGCGAGTCACTCTCATTGATTATTCCTCACGGACCATCGCTCACCTCTGATGCGCAACCAGACCAACCCAATGATCTGTTTGTTGAATTCATTTCTCCGTGTGAACTGCGTGCTGTACAGAGTTCTGATCTCCAGGACTCTGTCAGTTGTCAAACAGCAGGTAGTATTCCGAGGCAGTGTAGATAGCATCCCGAATGCGGCTCTTACGCGGCGGCGTGGCTTCAGGGACCGCTAATAAGGTCGCAGCACTTATACTGTCCTTACCTCTTCCCATCATCTCGTACTTGGCCGGGTCAGAGCGCGTCGCAATGCGTGAGTTGAATCGTTGATCGTCTCCGCCTCTGTTTTGTATCGTTGGGCTGATCTGACTCGTAGGGGTGTGGCACCCTCTCGCTTTCTTTGCTTCCGCTGCGCCGCTCGTATTTGCCAATGTCAATTTCGATACCTGCCTTGCAGACATACACCAAGGACTTTGGGGCGACACTGGGGGTACTGATAACTATGGAAATCCGGTCTCCAATATCTCTCAAGCCACTGCCATCACTTATGGGTTGTGTATCAAAGCCTGTGGTGCCGGGTCAGAACCATTCGATTGGAATATCTTCTCTCAGCAGTTCAGGTGCGTCTGGCATCGCGGAGATATTGTATATGCGCTCCAAATCGATTGCGTTGTAGCGCGTGGCTCCTGCCGTATCTTGCCCTCATTTCTCAACTTCCATTCGGAGCGCAGAGCAGACTGGATAATCTAGTTTCCATGTCAGTTCCTTCGGTGCCAGCCTATCGTTCTTTTCTGTTTTGACTGTCAGCTAGGTTACTCACTTTGGGAAGCCCAACTTTGGCCGCGTATTCATTGGCCCTGACTGTCCTGAACGGACACTGGATAGCACAACGCTTTTCACACATCAGATATCCGAACGTGAAGGAGGCTGTCAAGATCTTAAGCAGTTTACAGCAATCTGCGCTCCGTGTGGTTTGCGAGGAGTCTCTCCTCGCGTCCCTTGTAGTCCTTCACGAGAATGACGATTGGTGGTCAGAATTGAGCATCTGGTTGAACTATGTTCACACTTGGTTCGTTCTTTCGACCGAAAGGGACATGCACTCAATCTCTTGTTTCACGCTCTTACCAGGTCTATCTCTGCTGTCGCATCAATCATCTGGGTCGTGACTGCATACATATTCACTGTCGTCGACTCGTTCACCAGTGCTCAGAACACCAACTCGACGCTTAATGCGAATGGTCAAGCCATTGGCTCGATCTTTTTATGGCTGCTCCCGGTCGTAGTCGGTGCGTGACCCAGACCGTACTCGAAACTGGGATTCGCTGATCGTCATCAGGCTGGCTTCAGATCAGTCCCAAATGCGACCACGATCGTGTTCACCAAGCACTGGATCGCGCAAATAAGATGGCCTACGTCGCCAGTGACGATGGAGAACCGATCCTGGCATCCAAAGTATCAAGACAACGCGCCATTTACCTCCAGAAACGCTTAGGAGAGATTCATCGAGACCAGGTGAGTTTCCATTGTGATTGACCTGTCTGTAGAGACTGAGCAGAACTTGAGCAATCTACAGCCCCGATATACAATTACGCACGCTTTTTATCGTGGGCTGCTGCCGTCGAAGATGTGTACCTGGCTTTCCGCGAAGCATCGGAGCGCACTGACCGCCACGAACCGGTTGATAAACAAGGAGTTTGGGAGCACGGAGATAGGCACTGGAGCATCCATCCTCGAAACCGACGCGGATCCACCACTCAGGTCTCAGACTACGTGAAGATGCGGACGTCTGAGATCCCATCGCCACGTCGCAGTCGCTTGGGCCCAGGTGTGCTTGCACGTTTTCTGCTCGCCTCCATTTTGGCCATCTGTTTGACCTGGGGCAGTGTTGGTGCTGCAGTGCTGGTTGCATTCTTTACACCCACCAAGGGTAGTGTTTTCTTCAGTGATGATTATCACTGCGGCTGATCGACCTTTTGCAGGGATTGCGTGCAGATCGGGGAGTTATCTTCTCTACGGAACCTGTTCAACTCTAGTCTGGATGTTACTCGTCGTTTCTAGTGGATTGGCCCACTACGCCTCGTTCGCCAAGAGCTATCGGGGAAGATATATACACACCAGGACGACACGCGTAGCGGGCATTCTTGCGATCACACTTCGCAGAGTGGGCAAGATCCTGGCGGCTCTCAACTCCGCCTGGATCTTGGCCGCGTGTTTGTTCCAATTCGGCAGCTTCTTCGATCGTTGTTGGTGTAACAGGCAAGCGTCAATAACTCGATATCCGGTGCAACGGCTCTAATTGCTCTTTTCAGTTCTGTATTCTACCTTGGAAAAGATGCATATAACGTGATCTCAATCTCGACAGCTGATGTGGCAGCTTTGAATGCTCCGTGGATTGGTGAGTTCTTACACCATCTAAACCTCCTCAGTTTCGAATCTGAGGTGTATGTCTAGGTGGTGTCACACTTGCTAGGTTCGTCCCCTCGCTCGATTGGCCTGTGCAGCTCTGAATGTGCTCTAGTGGTGTCTCTATCCTCTTCATGGCCTTCGTCAGTGTTCTGATAAATCCCAATCTGCCTGACATGTGAGGTTGAGCCATCGAAGGTGATAAATGATATGTCTAATTTATCTTGTTGTATGTAATCTGATGTAATTTCGACTCTCCCAATGTTTTGGGTTCAATGAACTATGAAGGGATCCGAAGCAGGATAAACTGAAGCAGAACTTGGAAGGCTGCCGCTATAATCTGATGACGTTTGATTGACACCTCAGCGATAGGGGTCTGTGCGTTGGTTCCTTTCTCGTGTCTTACCCTCACCGTTCACTCTCTTTTCGTCACTTCTACAATGCAGCCTCGAGAGACAGAATCCTCGCCGAGGGAAGTTGCCGCGGTCGTCACCTTCTACATAGTCGCCGCCCTTGTCGTGAGTCCCCATTGTCCCGAACTCAGTCCGGCAAATTCATGCCTGCGCAGATGATCATCGTGAACAAGGCGGTTCTGAACGATACGCCTGAACTTCCCTTCACGCTCCTTGTAAATCTTACGTCTCCTGCGGAAATGCAAAGGCTCACCTGAGGGACACATGGCAGTTCCTCCAAACCTCTATCGCCGTTTTCCTTCTGCGGCTGCTCGCATTCGTCAATCGAACGGCTCTCGGACAGGCCATCCCTGGCTCTTTCAACTTCGAACTCCCTATGTTCAACCGCGGGACCATCCTCCGGATCCTGCCGTACCTCTGTGTGGGTCTGATCGGGCTTGTGTTCAACACACTCTGTCTTGCAAATGTGGATGCTGCATTCTTCCAGGTGCGTCTTGCGTTAAATAAACCGGCATATCATGTGTGGAAGAGCGCATTGTAGATTGCAAGAGGGCTGCAGTTGCCCTTCACTATCCTCATCTCATCGGCGCATATGGGTCAAACGCCTTCGAAGCAGATCATCCTGAGCGCTTTCATCGTCACATTCGGATTCCTCGTCGGTAGTATGCCGACGCTCCTCCCTGTGCTCTCAATCTCGTCTATATCTGATTCCGATGGTCACTACCTCTCGCGCCAAACTGCCGTGGCCCTCATTTACGGCTGCATATCCTCATTCGTGCTCGCCCTGCATGCTGTACTCAAGAAATCTGCTCTTGTTCATGTCGGCCAGTCGGTCATCGCGCTTTGCTATTTCGGAAATCTGTTCATGGCGGTTGGGATGATTCCATGCATGGTGGTGAACGCGGAGTTCTCGCTGTTGTACCAACGTTTCTTGGAGGGCACTACGGATTGGACGACGTTCGCCGTGGGCTCTGCTGTGACAGGAGTCTTCGGATTCTTGCTGGGGATTTCGAGTGCACTATCCATCAAAGTAACGAATCCCGTCACGCATATGTTCTCCTCGGTATGGCTTTCTTGCTGCCGACGTCCTCTTATTCAACTGATGGGGGGACTAGGCTGCCAAAGGCGTATTCCAGACTTTCTTGGGCATGTGGTTGTTCTCAGACATCCTTACGCTGTATGTGTTAATTATTGTTCTATCCCGGCCCTTCCCTGACAGGGAACACAGATCTCGTGCATACTCGATTGCGATCATCACTGGGGGCACGGTGTACTTCACGTACCTGCAGACCAGGCCCAAACCGCGCGAGAGGTTGGCCGGGCCTCAGAACGACGTCGAGAAGCAGATGGACTCTGAGAAACAGATCTTATTAGAGAAGAACTCGGACTCACAGGCTTGATTGCTTAGCTTACTTGGATCATTGGGATGTAGTTGTATCGAAGGGCGAGATTGTGTATTCCAAAAAAATAGCTTATAAAATACAGTAAAACTACGCTGAGTTTGCGATGACAAGCGGTGAGGTATGTATGCTACGGAGTGTTGCGCAAAAGATGGAGATTGGAAGTGGTTTACTATTACACAGAGACACCCGGAGAGCCCATGCCCTTGAGGACATCCACAAACGTCCCAAACGCAGATCCCCCCTTTCTCCCGGAGGTGCCTTTTGACGAGCTCGAGAGCGAGCGTTGACGAGAGATGGCATTGGGACGCCGTGACGAGGCGTCTGATGTGACCACGTCCTGGATGTTTGATGTGGTCCGGGCTAGCCGGCCCGGTCGGTGTGGCATCGGTGGGGTGTCGCTCAGAGGAAGAGCAGGGCGGGAAACAGACGAGGTCGAAGCCGATTTCGCACGCGTTGGACTGGGTCTCATTTTGGGGAATGAACTAGGAGGGTGGTCGGTGATGGGGACGTCTGCAGGGGCCGATACGATCCTCGCGTGTGACGACGGGGATTGGGCCGGCCTGGGAAGCAAGGCAGGAGAGTAAGGGCCGGCTGCAAGTATACTCGCTGCCAACGGAGGGATCAAGGGGAGAGGTTTCTGCGTCGCGCTGTCATTTTCGTTGTCAGTCGACCTTTCGAGGGATGGTTCACGGGAACTGGATGCACTTGCAGGCACAAGCAGTCTGCTCGCGTCCCTGGCCTCACGCTCTCTTCGACCAGTGGCGCCAAGAACAACGCACGCGGTGTTGGTGCTACCTGTCACACGATGAGTTTGGGCTGTCAACGCCGCGGACAACAGTGGCGAAGACTTCTTCTCCCCGTCGGCGACGACATGAATGCTGATGTCGCTACCTGCGGGGCTGGGGACCGGTGTCGTCCTCGGCGTGCTTCCACGCGATGAGGGAAGAGGAAATAGGTCGGCGTCATCTTCGATAATTCGTGGGCGGGGCAGGATGGGGACCGGCTGCGCCAGTGGTGTCCTGGTACTTGGGCCGGGATACTCGTCCTCGCTGGCGAGATCTACCGCCAAAGCCAGGCTCACTCGACGTCTTTCCTTATCAACTTCATCGACAGCGATCCCCAGCGGCAAGAGAGGGCTGGCTCGTCCGCTGCCGACACGAGGTGTCCCAGTTGCCGAGACGCGGCCGATGGCCGGACCGAGCAATGAAATCTCCTGTTTCTCCTCGCACGGCGTGCCTAATGGACTCGGATCCGGAGTAGGTGACTTGCTTCCGTTTCGAGCGCGCTTGGCTCTCTTCTCTTCCAGAGCCGCTACGAGACGATTCACCTCTGCTAGCCCCGTGCCAGAAATTAACTTCCCGGCGTCTTCATCGAGGTCATCTTCACACGCAGCTGGCAGGTCAAGATATCCACCTCTCCTTGCTGCTTCCAATAAGGAGTCCCCGATCGGCAACGTGCCTGGTGCGGCTCGTCTGCGCATGCGCATTGCCCCACGTGAGAATGCTTCGTCGACAACGTCGGCTCGGAGCCCGCATTCTGGGCAGCACGCTCGCAATGGAATGCGTTCGGCCTGGTTGGGAGAGTTGACAGCAGAGATGGTAGTCGAAGTGCTTGGTGAGGTGAATATAGTCGAAAGGGAGATGAGTGGACTATGGGGGATAGCACCGAGCGTTTCCTGAACGGCTGGCTGGTCTAGGACGAAACGAGTGTCGTTCTCGTACCCAATCGGCGGAGATGGTGGGTGCTCTGCAAGGGATGGTAGATTGGGTTGGATGGAAACGGATGTGTTCGGTGAGCGTAAACAAGAAGGTAGCCCAACGGCTGGAGATGGCGGAGACCGTGAGTTATTCCGACCCCCACGTTCTCTTGAATGCGAAGAATGTTTCTTGCCCGATGAGAAACTGTGTAACTGGTGATCAGCAGGGGAAGAAAAAAACCACCAGGGTCGATCATGACATGATAATGGCAATAAGGAGAGTATGTATGGCCTGAGGGCAATCGGCACTGGACATCGGACCCGTCAAAACATTGTATCGCCTTTCAAGACGCTAATCAGTCACGCCGTAGATCGTCGTCGGCTCAATGATCAGTCAACCCCGCACATAACCCCATAGAGACGGAGATCATAAGCGTCCATCGGACACCGATAGAAGAGAGAATGTCTGTAGAGAAGGAGGGTATCTGTGATGGAAACAGAAACAGTCCATGGAAGTGAAGACAGCGAACGAGACGGAGACCGACTGGGAGAAACGAGAGGTGACCGAAAGTAGTGAAACCTACCTCGGTAGCGCGACTTTGATAACAAGATGCTCGTCTTCACCAGCGGAAGTCCTCTCTTCTCGAGGTTTCTTCCAGAACGGCAGAGCATAGCTCTTTGTGACGATCCGAGGTCGCCTAGAGTTTGATGATGGGCCTTGTTCGGGGATGAGAACGCATTCGGCGTCAAAGCGGACGCGGGCAGCGTGGGTGGACGCATACGCAGATGTAGAGGTGGAAGAGGATGAGAGGGAAGCCATTGGGGTAGTGAAAGTAGATGTTCGCGAGGTACCACTGAGGGATCTAGAACCCACGACGGACGGTGCTCCAGTGAGTGTCGTGGTCGTAGAAGACATCTTTCGGTAGTCGGATGTCCTCCCTTTCGTAGGTAGTAGAAGAAAGAAGTATGTAGGGGAAAAACGTCAAGCACAAGTGGAGGTGTGGTGCGTCTGCAATGGGACGACGTTCACCGTGACAGACTGCGTGATATGCGAAAGCTGATGTCTTCTGTCACACCATGTAATGGAGCAGGTGGCCCCCAGCCTCGGTCCCTTTTCCGGACCTCTCGCTTCCGTTCGAATCTGTCGGATAGAGGTTCGCTGTCTATCGTGAAGCCAAGTGTTTTCTTGTGTTGCTGGTTAAGCTCTTACTATGACACCGGCAATCCTCTGAATACGAGATGGCCATGCTTCATTTGGAAGCGCCCCCAAGTGCACTCCTCGGTTCTTCTCGCCCTCTTGTCTTCTTATCTTCAGGCGAAACTTTTGCTTTGGTTTCCGAACGTCGGGCTGCGGATGCTGGCCGGGGGATGGCCGGCTTCCAGTGTTCCCAGATCGGTGACATGGAAGGGGCAGTCCGCACGATAGGTAAGATTATTGTCGGCTTCCAGACTCGAGTTCGTTCGGTTCGCCTGATCTGTGGCAACCGCAGCGTCGGACCACTCCGTGTATGTAGCATTCCTTAATTTTATCATCTCATCGGAGATAACATCCTGAGGTTGTGAGCACGGTCTTTGGCAGGAACTGGCTTATCTATTTTTCCTGTTCTCTACATATGCATCGTCGGCTGGGCCTAAAAGACATTCTGTACATTTATGTTCTCACGTTATAAATGCGGAATTCTAGCATCCACAGTCAGGTTGTAAACAGGAAATTGCGACAGGATCGCGTGGCACGGTGCGTCGGAAATCTAGAAGGCATATGGCTCCAAGCGACGCAGACATCTGGGTTGTGGATGAAGGATGTCGTCGTCATAAACGGGGGGCCAAGGTGGCCTAGGAGGAGGCGATTGCGGTCGTGGCTCAGCTCGGCGATTAAAGTAGGGCCAAGTCGGAAGATAGCAGAATTCCTCAAAGCTGCATGCTGGCTTACATTTGACCCACACACTCCAGTCCAGCCAAGTGATCAGTGCAGCGATCTTTGTACGCCAGCGTTCGACAAGCACTGCCTCGTCAACGGGCCTGAAGCCCGAGTCTGCAGGATACATGTCATCCAAACCGGCAACGACGCCGTCTGCCCAAAGGCCGACGACCACCCGGCAGATCTCGTGGTTTACTTCCTCCGCCGAGTCGAGCAACAGTCGCTCGGCCGCCGTCAGTGAGCCGTACACGCGGGCGCTGTTTCGCATGTAGGATGTGTGCGAGGTGGCACAGAATTCAAAGATGGGAGACGCCCATGCTTTGGATGCATCCACTCTGCTGCCCGGTTTCGCCGAATGTATTAGATACGGGGCCAGCATAACATTGAAGAGTCCCGTAGCACGCTTTGCAGTCGCAAGGGCACCCCTAGTCGAGTTGGAGAGCACGTATTGCACGAGTTCTAAACGTTCCGCATATCGGTCCACGACGACTTTGAAGAGAGTATCCCAGTCGATGCCGCTTCCTTGAGTGATCATTGAAGAATCGTAGGCCTCTATGAGGCGCTGGTGGACAGCAGCAGTATCGCTGTCGCTGATGCCGAGCAGCCGATGGTCCCATCTAGTCCTGTTGAACCGGACCGCCACCAAGCTAGGAACCAGACCTGTGTCATAGAAAGATACGAGCCTGGATAGATCCAGTTGAACTCGTCTGTCACCAGGATACCGGTTGTGCCAGGAGCCAGATTGGATGACGTCCACACTATCTTGGACACCGAAGCGATCGTCGTCGCGTTCCCGCGGAGGAGCGCGTCTTGGGCTGGCGAGATTGCTCATGGACAGCACATCCACGCCAGCCGTGAAGTCGCATAACATGATCTCGCTGCATGGATTCATCAGAAATCGCGCTGGCAGATATGAACCCTACACACAAATCCATTTCCATGCGCAGAAATCCATCAATCCCAAGATCCTTTCCCCAGTTGCAAAGCTCGACGATGCGAACCCGTTCCTCGTTGTATCGCTCTGGTATCACTTTGCCCCACGAAATGACATCCTGAGAATCCATGGGGCCGTTCGGCATCTTGGCAGCGCTGGACCCGTCAAAGTATAAAACCCTCAGAGGTCTTGTGGCGACCAATGTAAGATGCCAGCAGCCAGCCTCAGAGGAGCCCCAACAGAATAAGTAAGAGTGCTCCGGATCTGTCGCGGTCCATTCGGGCACTGTCGGCAGATTGGAGTCTGCGCGGCCATGATACAGAAGCGTTCCGATAGGTACAATGCCTAGAGAATACATAGACTCGACGCATTACCGTTAGAAGCGAAATAAGCACTCACCAGGAACAATATTATGTCCGTTTCGGTACCGCGTATTTGGCCAATGTTGAAGAAACGAGCTCACAGTATCGAAGACAAGCTGGCCAGTTGCATTCGGATTGGGTTCAACATCAAAGTCCCACGTGCTGCGCTGATTGTCTATGGCGTGGAAAGGATATTGCGTCTCGGAAGCGGAAGTGAACGAGGCTAGCGCTAACGCAGCACAGACAGCAAAGACGCGGGGAACCATGGACCGGCCTCTGAGTTTAGAAGATCGGCTCAAGAAAGATCAAGATAGTCTCCTGTAACAAAAATATTTCACATGTTGGTCTTTATCATATCAGCTCGCTATCAAATCCCAACCCTAATCAATTCCCGACTGGCACCTTCCAGTCTTTCCAGCCTCTTGTTCAGCTCTTCTCTCTTTCCAGCTACGCTCGGACTCTCTTGAGCAAGCTCACGGCAGATCCGAAGACCCTCCGGGCCGTTGATGCCGAGCCCGCTGTAGAGGGTGGGCAACAGGTCGCGACCGACAGCACGGATGAGCTCATAGTCGATCGCGAGTGGAACGTTATCCGTGATGCGTTTGTAAGCAACTGCGCACCGATTAGTCGGTTATGAGGGTAGACTTGGAGACGGACCCTGGAAATAGGCTCGCACGTCCGACATAATTTCAAGTGCTGCATCCATCCGATCAGGAGGAAGCAGCTTCACGAGATCCTCCGCCTTTACACCTTGCAGTCCAACCGCAGCCAAGTTGCTCAAAGCCGTGGAGATATCGGTCTCTTCACCCCATGAAACCGACTTGTAACTCTGAATATTGCGAGCGAGACCGGGATTCTTGCTGTTCTGGCGTGTTTGCTTGTAGAATGAAAGGAATTTGGACCTGTAATCGGCAAGATAATGCTCATTCAGCGTCAAGGAGCCGCTCTGCTCCAGGGAAATGAGCTTCGCGATAAGATTCTGGGCATTTTCAGAGCATCGGCGAAGGTGTTCCTGCATGAGCAATCTGTGGAAAGTCAGCATTGGGGTCAAAATCCTGCAGCTGGCAACTTGCGTGACTCGTTGCTCCAGTGCGCCTTGTCCGAATGAGCCCAACTGCTTTGAGATGACATCCCTGATATGCTGCGAAAGGGCGGAGTGAACCATTCTGCAGAGAACTTGAGCTGGTAAGGCCCATTTTTGGGTCACTTCAGAGATGAACGAGGTCTGGACAACAAACGGATGGTGACCAGGCAGTTCACGAGTCCGTGCGCTGATAGAACTCTCATGAGAAATCACGGGCCAGATAGTTGAACAATGGGGACTCACGCCGTGGCACGTTGCATGACTTCGTCAATGAAGATGGGTTTTTCTCTGCCGGCAACCAAGGTTGTCATGCCAGATGACTGACCATCCTCATTTGTCAAAAACTGAGGCTCGTGAAAGTCTTCTATGACAGGAGAACCGCTCTCGAAAGGCCGGAAGTCAGGTGCAGTTGCGCGAATTTGAGAGCGGAAGCTTTCTTGTGCGGGACGAATGACTTGCAACAGCCCGTCGGCAGTGGGAACCCCGTCAATGACACGATTGATTTCGTCCACGAGCGAGTGCATCATTCCCGCGACCTCCCCGATCGGATCAGGAGAGGGCGGTTTCGGAAGTTGTTGCAGGGTAGCAAGCGTTTTCTGGATAGTCTTCTCCAACTCCACCTGGATCTCGGGCAGACTGGACAATTGTAGCAAGGAGCACACGAGGGAACGAGCGAAGGCTCACCGTTTAGAGATCAAATCGGATAGAATCGAGCTGAGGCGATCTACTAGATTGGTGGTGCGCAGGTACTTCTGGTACATCTGGTCAAGTTCGGACCACGGCGAGGTGAAAGAGAAAAAATCGTTTTCCGCGGAACGGGCATTCTGCCAGGTGATACCGAGCTTGATGTCCTGAGAACTTGGCTGCTTGACACAATACCAGTTGTTCTCAAGCGTCTCCTGTTCGTTACGAATGAAAGGGATCCAGTTGCTTTCCTCGCCTGACGGGATACGATCGGGTTTTGTGAGCACGCCTATGGCAATAAGTACATTGAAATTATTAGAAGCCCACAGTTCTCACCGATGGTTCGTTTGCCCAGTGGATCGTATTGCTTCGTCAGGTTATGGGCACCCTGGTTTTCAAAATCGGCTACACAAATTGAGTCGTTCAGGAAGTCGGATACAGCACCAACACACACTTTCACAGGCCACAGTCAGAAGAATAACACAGCTGGGCTTGGAGATGTACGATGCGACCAAGTTCTCCACCATCTTGATGTCGCGATTGTCACCACCTCGACTGACGCTAGCAATCAAGCCTAGACAGCAACGAACGGGGGTCAATACAGAGCTTAGGATACAAAGAATCCCCGGCATACCAGGCAAATCGACAAACGCCAGATCACTAATGTCTGGCCCGGTGATTTGTAGCGAGATATAATTGGTCGAGAACGACAGCTCAGAGGGCTCATTTTCATCCTCGTCGTCGGACAGGAATGAACGAGCGGGCTTGCTTGGATTCAGGATGGCACGTTGAGCGCGTCTGATTCGATCTTCGACGTCGGCCCTGTCGGTGATGGGTTCGCCAAACCGCTCGTTGCGGGCTTGACCGAGCGGCTGTCCATTCTTGTCGGTGATTACGCGCAATTCGACAATGCAGCCCCAAATGCTATCGTCTGCATGCGATAGACGGATTTCAGTGGGACAACTATCAGACAGTCAGAACCGGCACAATACGAAAGCAAAGTGCACACCGAGTGCAAGTCCCTGCAGCACGCGGGAGAGTGATACCAGAAATGGACTCGATGAGAGATGATTTGCCCGCGCTCTGGTTCCCAATGACGGCGATCTGTGGCAGGTCGATATCGTTTTGGACACTACAGCAGGCATAAATTTGTGAAAACGAGAATAATGAAGGCAGATTACCCAGTGTTCTTCATGCGGTTAACCAAATCGAGCATCTGCCGGCGGGCTTTCGCGATCCCTGGGTCAGAGAGTCCAACGCCGACCATCCCAGTGTTGGGTTCATGCACGGACACAGATTCGCCCGAAGAACACTCAGCGCCGACATCGTCGATTGGCTGGGCAGACGGAGCAGATGGGGCAAGGGACTTGGGAGACCGTTTTGTAGATGTGCGCATGGTTGACTGCCCCAGCCTTCCCTGTTCATCGAGTTCATGTACTCTGTAGAGCGCCTATGTGTGATCCCCGCGCAGACAATAAATTACGTGGACGCGTTCGTATCCATTCAGCGCCGCCGCCTTCGAACGACAAGAAGGGTGTAGTGCGAAGTGTTTTGGACATCACAAGCGCCCGAACAATGGATTCTGCGATGTACGGATGACGATGTCCATTATTACGATGGAGCGTTGAGAAAGCAAAAGCAAGGAGATTATGAGTAAGGCTTGCTTCTGCAACGAGGATGATGCAAAAAATTGAGGAAAGCGCTGTGGATGAGAGAGTACTAAGTAGTATGTAGTAGGAGTGCAACTTGCTTAAACAGTCAAGGATACTACGGCCGACCAGGCCGAAGTCACAGCCACTTGACTGCGATGGATGGCGACGATTTCACGAACGTGCGCTTGTCAACTGGTAATCTGCCTTGCTTCCTAATCCACCGTTGGGCCCTCTGCGTAGACGCTGCCGCAGAAAGCCTTTTCCGATTACAACGCCTTTGGACCGTCACGATCGTAAACAGCCTTCCCGTGATGCTGGCAGTCTCCTTAGATCGGTGCTCGGGCCCGACACCAGTCATAACGGCCGCAACTTGATTCCACACACTGACAATGCATTTCTCCAAGACCTATGCTCAACTGCTGAGCGAGCTCCCACACGAATTAAGCGACAATGCTATTCAATATCGTCAGGTATCGACCTATGTAATGATAGTCCATGGATATCTCTGAACCCCATCAGCTGAAAAAACTCATTAATCAAGTCGCCATAGAGCTCGCAACGCTCGGACTTGGGCCGGCAGTGTTAAACAGTCTTTTGCGAACCGGTTCCGACTCGATTCCGTCGGAGGGGAAGGGGAAAGGACGCGGCACACGTATCGTTTACGAATACAATAATGAGTCGGGTCAAATTCAGCCTCGCTTGCGATTGTGGGTCGGCGCTTCCCACTCAACGACCTCACCATTTCGATCCGAAGCAGGCACAGAAGAAGAAGAATTGGGAACAGACGACCCGTCGCTTGCCGCGCTACTATGGGCCATGCAGCGAGAAAGCAAGCCCTTGGGGACGTCGGTAGAACAACGAGATGGCAACATGGAAATCGTTATACCATTACCCTCCGATTCCGCCTTTTTCCAACTGCTTGCCACTGCTCTTTCCGCTTTATCCGAGAGGCTGCTCGCCATACATGCTGAATTTGTGCGAACGCTTGCTGACCTGACCGTCGCTGTGTCGTCTTCGGCACGTCCAGTTTCGTCCGAAAACCACTCATTCAGAGTGCATTCGCCTTTCACATCGGATGCTGGTGGAGTCCGAGTAGACGCTTCGAGCAGAAAGGTGAGTGTGCGCGCTCTACTGATTATGCGCACTCTGATTTCTTGCAGAGTGATCTTTCGACTTGGCGAGAGATATTCCAGCTCTATCTCCAGGCCGAAATCTTCGAATGCCTGAGCGAAAGATCGCGAGGGGAACGCACAGTTGAAGATGTGGAGACCCGATTGAAGGACTTTGCAGAGCGCGTGACTGTACTGGGACTGGATGATCGACGGCGTCTTAAGCTTCCTGCGAGTCAAAGTGCACTCAAAACTTTCTTCGAACTAAACGTTTTCATCTTGAACGTCAAGAAGGTTAGCTTGCCCGTTTATCCGCAATCCTGGTGCTGAGGCTGATTAACCTTTAGTTTGAACTTGCTAATTCGGAAGCGACCCGCAAAATCTCAAGAAACATACGAAACGCACAGCGTTGCCTATCACCGACAATAATAACACCCATTCGCTCGCAATATTACCCTCCCATGATGCTTCTCTTCCCCGTATTCTCGTTCAAGAGTTGGGCACGACGCTGTTGCCGATTGTCCCTTCTTTGGATGATTACTCCTGTCTGATCTGCACCAGTCTGGCTTTCAAACCTATTCGGCTCTCCTGTGGTCACCTGTTCTGCGTACGCTGCTTAGTCAAGATGCAGAAGCGTGGCGACGAGAGGTGTCCCGTGTGTCGTTCCCCATGCGTTTTGCTCGCCGACCGATGTGTGTGTCGTGCTTCATCTCTCCACCCGAGGACTAACAGTATGCAACAGCCAATGTTGATTGGGCTTTGCTCAACTTTATGCGCGATTGGTTTCCGGAAGAGGCTCGTTTCAAATTGCGTCAGAACGAGCAGGAAGCTGCCCAAGAACAAATGGAAGAACTAGGCATCACTTCTCAGCAGCCGTGTCTTATTATGTAGTGCCGTAATTATGTCCAGACTATATCCGAAATTCTGGCTACTTATCGATATTCTACGATTTACAGTGATGAAGTACAGATGCGATACCCTATGAGCCTTCCTTGGAGCTGAGACTGCGAAAGAATTCTGCATAGGCATGATCTACGTCGAAGAGCAGCTGATGGCCACAGAAAGGGAAGGGTCAGCCAGTGTGGAGACATCTTGCGATGCAGAAGGTTACCTGGCGAGATTGTTCTTCTGATAGTTCCTCGGAGGCCTTCATGCCGTTCAAGGTAATCAACCTAGATTCCGGTCAGCAGGGGACGGATCTCACTAACTGTGTGCTCACCATCCCACCATCCTGCTCCGCCCCTCCCAATCCTTACTGCCCTTGAATCGCGCGTATCCTGTGACGAGATCTTGCAGGATTGGATGTAGTTGATCCTTTGCACGCATACGAAGCTTGAGAGCATCCATGAAAGTGATGAAGCTCTGGCAATGAGATGTTACGAGTGTCATGATCAGCAGTGGACGAAACGTGCCTGCGTCGTCTCTGCAACCCACTTGCCTGTTTCCGGGCCTGCTTCGCTGGAATGTTCAACCGTCGCAGGAACACCGACCTTTATTCGATGAAGTGCTGCTGGATTGTCCATCTGGAAATCGCAATTCGTCAGGGAACGAAGATAATTGGCTTGAAGATGGCACACACTCGATAGCGGCTCATGAATTGCTCGATAGATGGTACATCGTCTTCGACGAGTTTTGAGATGATCTGATATTGCGAAAGGAGTCGAGTGCATGCTGGAGAGTATCTCTTCGACATGCCTTAGATCGAACAAAGCAGCTCGAGAAGGGACACACTCTGTTGCGGTGACGGAATCGCGAACATACGCTCGCTCCAGAAAGTCCAATGCGATGATGATTCCAAACAGGGTAGCCAACGAGTTGTATTTCTCCCGGTCGGCGTTGTTCGTGTATAGTCGGACCTCTTCGTCCAAGGAAAACGCAGACATCGAGGATGGTCAGTCACAGTGGCCCGAGGGGCTGTCAGGCGATTACGTACGTGATCTGATGATGTTGATGGCTGATTGTCGATGTGGACGCGGTCACGAGCTTAAAATAACGAGAACTGTTTTTGCAAGTCTGAGGATCGGCCGCCATTCCAGCCCTTGCTGCATATCACATGTGTCCAACGACAAAGCAGGTCCTGACGCACTACTTCCGATCAAACCAAAGGTGAATTGGGTCCGAGGAGTGGCATGTAGCTGTGCTAGAAATGGCGCGTGGTGTCGAAGCTGTGGAACCGGACATACAGCGCGAATCAGGGTCTTGCCACGGAGCCCTTGAGTCCCTGCAGGAACATCATTCCCATGCTCGACGGAATCTATAGCAGTCTCCGACATGAATTTTAAACAGGAATTCAAAAGAAATACAAGTGCATGCCGTCGAACCACACAATACTCGCATGTATCCCGATGTGCAGGAGCTCTGGGCCATCTGCGGTCTACGCTGTTCTAGAGCTTTGAGAGTTGTGTACGAGTCTGTCATCGGTGACGATGATGCCCACCGCTTGGAGGCTCTCAATGCATCTATCCGCTTATTTTAACGCGTACTGACATACATGTAGAGATGACCAGGGCCGCTGTTCCCGTGTCCATGCTCTCGCTTGATCGAAGACTCTCCCCGACACAATCGAGCCTTGTGCACTTAAATGTGGCATTACAGAATCCATTGACACGCTGCCCGTAATCGACCGTCCGTGTTAGGCGAATGCAATCTCCGCGGAGCCGGAGAAGATGTGCAACTGATGGGCAAGGTTTGCAGGATGATACCCCCGGCCGCGAACTTTGAATGCATGATAGCACGATCGGTTCCTACTCCGGCTCAGGAGGAGGCTGTTCTGTATCTATGGTCAGATTCAGACGGGCAACAGAACGAGAGATCGACGCAACTAGAGCGGTCACCCCGTGGGACAGATATTCGATCCAAATCTGGAGCGGGCCCGTCTCTCAGATAAGGTGACGAGAGAGAGGAAACCTCTTTACCGCCTCTCAACTCCTGGTTCTTGCTTTCGATCCTATCTGCATCTAGAGGCCATCGGTTCAGTAGGTGAAGCTGGTCACAGATCCTCAACCCGACGACTGACAGGTTTGGAGGCGCTGGATTTCTTTACGGGCATCGGATAAAGCTTTCAAATTGTCACCTGGGTTCTGCACCGCACAACAAGAGACCAACCATCTTCCACACGATGTAGCTCTCGCACTGGATCACAGGACATGAGATCTTGTCATCAGGGAATGACTGCGACTGACCTGCGTCTCGAGCCTGGGATTCTGCTTCGTCGACTTGTCGTTGTGCGACACGAACGGCTATTGACTGCTCGGAAAACGGTATAGTGGGGCTCGGATCACGAACCTTCCCGTTGTTCCTCCATTTCTGCCTGAGATCGTTGCTCGACCGCCGTCAAGGCTGATGGAGAAGCTTCGATGAGATGTAGATGCACGTTGAGAAGAAGCACAGCCAGACCTGCAATCAGCTCTTGCTCTTTCTTCTGATACATGAAGGACACTGAGCAGTCCGACTGGTCAGTCAGTGTGACCAGGAAAACGGCAGACTGGCGTACTGCTGATGACATCCTTCTCTTTTTTCTTGACTGGAACCGGTTTGATCAGCGAGCGATCAAAGAAGGAAATGACATCTACATTTAGCCAATTCACGGTTCTTCACGCGCAACTCTGTCGAATCTCGTCAGCACAAGCGGCCAACGTCGGAAGACAACATGCATTACCTCGTTTGAAGTGCGCTTCTGCGTATTGGGCACGCTGCATCTCGCTCCAAGCTTGAGGGAACATGTCATGAGAATGAGGAAAACGTGAGAGTGGGCAAGTACCAAAATTGTCGCGTAGCTCCTGCTCTGTTCCACCGGGATGGGCTGCGAGAGCGAATTCAGCGCATGACAAGGCGCATTGACAAAGCGCACTACTCACGATTTGGTGGCTCATACTGCTGCAAGGTCGATGGTCCTGCGACCGGACTGGTGCCCTCGAACGACTGGTAACCTGACGGAGTTTTACGCCTGTGAGGTTCGGAGCTTTCGGAGCGGGGCAAAGGGGCTGGAGGTGTAGACAGGATGAGCGGGCTGTTCGACGGCGGACTGTTCGACGGTCGGTCAGGACTGGGCTGATGCCGCCGGGCTCGATAGTTTTCGGGTGGACTGAATTGCAACTGAGGGACGCTTCCGGAGCTAGCGTGTGAACGACCCTGCATAGGACGTGGCAATGGATAATCTGCTGGGGGGCGATGCGACCTGGACGGCGGGGGACTGGCATATCCATCTCGGTGGAGTTGCATTGGGGGCAGGGTCTTGCGTTCTTCTGTCTCTATCATCTTGACGAGGATTTCCGAAACCAATACATCGACGTCGGGATTCCGCTCGCCTGGCTCAATCACCGCAATGTTCTTTTGGACCATAATGACGCGACTAGCGCATATATCCGCTCGCGAGGTCCACGTGATCCCCGTCGAGTCCGCCCAGAGGTACAAGTCGGATATCTGCGCATCATTGGCCCATGGGTGCGCAACGAGATATCTGTACAGTGGCACACGGTCCAATCGTAGTGCGGTCCATTTTCGCCACTGTCCCGGACTGTAGCCGTCTCGATCGCGCCAATGAAGGGTGTTTCGGCCGGGTGTCAAATCGACGTAAACATCGCCGACCGATCCCACATGTCCGGGAGGCGGCCCCACGGCTCTGAACTCGACGAAGGAGATCTGCACGGTGCGAGTGTTGTCCAAAGTGTACGGATGACCCGGGAGGAAAGACTCGGGGTTCGCCGCAAACGTCCTGCGGAACGAAAGCATGGGTGTGGTGAAGAGACCAACGGCCGTCGAGTTGTGTGTGTGTATGAGCGCTGGTCAAAAGTGGGAAGAAGTTGCGTCGTGCGAAGTAGAAGCCCGCCCGAGTGAACGTCTACGTGCTGCCTTGGTACCCGTGATTAATCAGTGATGCTTAACGGAACATCAGTCGCAAACTTGCACCTCACGGTTGGATATTTCAGTGCGGGATGGCATCCGAGAACGGCTGGAAGATGAGATGGTGTTGATTGAGATGAACCGAATCAGGCCAAACCCAATGGCAGCTGTTGAGCATATCAGTGCTTCTTTGTTATGATCCCTTCAGGACGGGCGGAAGATCGCAAGCATGCTGATGCAAACGAGCCATTTGTCACACTACACACTGGCCGGAGCTCGAGGAGGTCGGGCTTTCGCCGGCCAGCCGGGGCAACCAGGTTCGGAAAGTAAATCCAGACGATGCTGCGGAAGGACCAGCACAACGTTGTCAGTTTCTTTCCACCATGCATATTACAGTAACGTACAGCATGCCCGGGCACAGGCATGCTGCATTCATCAAAGAAGATGTCGGGAGGTTGCAATCATTGCCGAGTTCCCGGTAAGCGATGCCAGCAACCTTGAACAAGAGAAGCGTGGATCCATCCCCGGCCATGAAATCCGAGTTCGTTCAAGCGCACATGAGGCTTTATTTTAAGTTGAATCAGCGAGGATCATGGAATGATGCGTGGCAGTGCTCTTCATCGACTGATTCGCTTTGACCGTATATTTTGTAGCAAGTGATCAAGGCAATGATCTCGACGTTGACGAACGATGTGTCGTGGCCTCAGAGTCCCCGTTCAATTTTTATTCCATTTCCGAGTATCGTCCAAAGTCCCGCGGATAAGCACCATGCTCATTCCCCTGCAGATACCTGCGTTTTCCAATAGGATTGAAGTCTTTCACTTTCAGTACATGCCATGCTCCTGCTTTATCTTGAGCAAATGGCGTTCTGAATTAAGACGATCATGGCTTGAGTTGTTTCTCACAAAAGTTGTGCACTACTGCTACTTATGTGCAACGCTGACGCGGAGAATCATGATCGATTGATGCATCGCGGCAAAGGGAGACAAACATCACGGCTCGATTTCAAGACGCGCTCTCGGGCTGGCAGCCTCAGTGGGCATTGGTCACCCAAGCCCCAACCTATTTACTGAACCTGCGCGCGCCACATATGATCCATATGCGTCCCTCAGTTCCCCCGATCAGCTCCTTAGTTGGTGCATTGATTCTAGGCATTCA